TCCTTGCTCGTTACGTTGCGCCTGGGAGACACAGGCGAGAGCATTGGGAGGCTGCTAAGAGGGTGCTGCGCTACTTGTGCAGTACATCAGGCATGGGGCTGGTGCTTGGAGGACGCGACAGAGTTGTCCTCACTGGCCACTCGGACGCTTCTTGGGTGGACGACCTGGCTACGCAGCGGTCGTCACAGGGTTACACCTTCAGCCTTGGCTCAGGTTCTGTCTCGTGGCGGTCCACCCGCTCTTCCTCTGTTCTCGGCTCTAGTTGTGAGGCTGAGATCTACGCCACAGCCATGGCTGCACAGGAGTTACGCTGGCTCACCTACCTGCTGACTGACTTGGGAGAGCGGCCTAGTTCTCCTCCAGTTCTGTACGGTGACAACAAGGCGGCTCTTGCCTTGTGTCAGGAGCACAGACTGGAGCACAGGACGAAGCACATTGCTCTTCGCTACTTTCTTGCTCGAGAGCTTCAGCAGCGCGGTCAGCTTCGGCTTGTGTACGTGGACTCGAAGGCCAACACTGCTGATATCTTCACCAAGGCACTCCCGCCTAGTGATCATCAGCGGCACTGTACTTCTTTAGGCCTTGTGTCCACGTTTCCTCACTTGCTCACTGCTTGACATTCTTTGTACTGTACTTTATATATATCTTGTTACTTGCTTGCTAGGTTTTGATCACTGTGTTGTTTGTCTTGTACTATATCTAGCACTGCATGTGAACTGGCCTTGTGGCCTTTACTTGTGCTCGGAGTGTGGTGACGTTGTGATCCACCCTGGGCTTTGCTTTGCTTTGCTGGACTGGTCTTGTGACCCTTTGTTCTCCCCCACTTTGCCTATGGGGGTGTGTTAAACTGTATTATGCTTGTAGGCTGTAGTGGGGTAGCCAATATGGGGTACAACCCCAACTAGGGTTTCATATTTGTACCCAAACTTCTGCTAGTTCATCCATTCTTCCCTAGTTATTCTGAGAGGTGGGTGTGCTCTAGAACTAGGAGTTAGGGTTTACGAAGGAGAATTGGAACGAAGAATGATGAGGGACTAGCAAGCAGCAGGACACACAAATAGCAAACCCTAAGGGGTTGTACTCACTATTGAGCACCCCACTGCAGGCTAGACAAATAACATTCTGACAGTACTCTAAGGGGTACATTCCCTTATTGCAGCGAAATTCAAACCGTGCGGCGCGGGAATCAGTTTCAAACCTGTTCCCGCTCTTTTCACTTCAAATGCTTCTGCCTGCATCGGTCTTGGTCAGACGGTTGCTGTGTCGCTTCGACTCTTCTGACTCCTCGACTTCGTACTCGGTAGAGTCGGCTCCTGCAGCATACAGGAATGCCTTCTCATAAAACTTCATATCGTAACAACCAGCAATTGCAACACGTCATTAGGCGTGGGATTGTTTTTGTAGTGAGTATTTCATCTGCAAATTATTCAATAACGGGTCTTGAAAACTGCCCGTTTTGTGTGCCCCTTCATCTCCTATTGATAATCGCATACAATTGGCATAAGCTTGTGTGAATTTTGCCCAATAGAGATGTTTCCGAGTAATGTCTTGATGCACAACTTATGATATAAATCTCATAAGCGCGCAACAATCCCAGCAGGTTTGAACGTGGTCATCTTATCATCAATTTCCTTGCAGGTGATGTGGGAGTGTTTATCCTATATATGAGGCTAATGTGGTACTGCCATATGTTAGAAATTGTCAAATAAGCTGCGGTTTATTTTGAGATCTTATATGGAAGGCGTTGAAAATGGACACTCGAATGGCCCAAAGTGTCAAACATAATAGTTTAGGGGCCTAGGGTTTGACCTAGGCGAGAGTGACGAGAGGAAAAGTGCAAGCCAAAAGATGAGTTCAATAGTAGAAGGCATGCAAGATATAGGCAAGGAATTAGGCAAATTGTACACCACCTAGCAGGAAACTAAGATAACCATACTAGGCTATTTTATGCATTTATATGAATGTATACAAATACATTTCAACACAAACTGGTCTTCCCACGTGCTACAGGTGTCGCCTGGGAGGTATGGGTGCGCTGACCCACGAATGAGACATGCGCTTTTAGCCCAGTTCGATTCCTGCTGTCAGCAGATTTCCTGTGCCCTAGTGGTGGGCCCTCTTAGTGAGGGGAGTGTTGGAAATGGACACTGGAATGGCCCAAAGTGGACTTCCGAAGGGCTACAGGTGTCGTCCTGAGAGGGTACGGGTTTGGTTAGTGAACTGGACAGAAGACATGCCTCAGCGATAGAAATCGCAAGGAGAGAGTGGGGTGTGAATCTACCTACCAAACCAAGGACACTGCATGGCATGTCACAATAAGGTGTAAGGTTGATCTCCAACAACAAAAACTCCTGCAAGCAATCGTGCTGATATGGAATCGAGAAGGAAAGAGTGTGGCATGAGCCTTGTATCACAGATTCAACAAGAACTCATCTCTGCACTATTTTAATAAGGTTACACATGACGTGGATACCTAGCTAGATTGTTTTTATATATATTTTATAATGAAAGCTGAAATGTTTGGTGGTGCTGGTTGGAGTACGCGATACAGCTGACCACTCACTTTCTAGCGTCAGTCCTTTCAGCCAGCTCATCACAGATCTGCCAATGTTCTTCCGCACTGCCACATCGGCCAACTTCATTGATACTCAAAATATGCCAGGAGCATTTTGCATCGGCAATCACCCTCGATTTCTCATTGCTGATTGGTTGTTGATTTTCAATCACATCGCTGATTGGATCTCGCTCTTCTATCACGAGTTTCACGCTAAAAACACATCCGCAATGTGACAGAAACAGAACGCAGTTACCGAACTTAAATATGAATAATTGTGTCGAGGTGCTACCAAGAATAGACACAACTAAAGCATGGAATAGTCAATCCTTTACAAAACAAAATTGTATCGAGCTCAAATTTTGAAAAGATAATAGAATGCGATTGGGGAAAATAATGCAAATTGGGATTAGCTCAACGGAATGGGGTCGAGGACACCGTCAATCCTCCATCAATCGTGGACCTGCTGAACTCGGACATGGGACCTCAAATTTGATTTTGCGTGCCCTCACATCGGAGCACGATCTCGTAAAGAATAATAAAACAAATAAAAATTATTGGGAAATCGGAGGCATCCTGGGAAATGATCAACCCTAAACAATGGATGGCTTTCCATCTTTAGGGTTGATTTTCCCAAATTGTGTCATGGTTATATAAGGGTTTTAGTTTTTTAAATGTTTTGTCTTCAGGGGTATGTGCACGAAAGTAGCTGGTGGTGCCTTTGATTCAGAATTGTGCTTTTAATATGAGAAAAAAATAAACGTGAATACTATACCGAGAATTTGTCGGCTGAGTACGATTGCAAAGCGCTCCAGGCATAATCTGAGTATCAATGAAGTTGGCCGCTGCCACATCACCTTCCTCCTCAAGGGGTTCTCTCCCTAGTTGTGGCCCGTCCCTCTTGCGCCAATATCTCCAAAAGTATGGGGTCCAATCCATGCATAGCATCCCTAGGCATGTGACAATGTAGCAGCATCATTGGCTGGTGGAAGCGACATACATGGGAGCACTAGCCAAACACAACTGTGAAACGATCTTGTCAATTGGTTGCAAAGCGCGCTTTTCCAATCAGCCGCCCGCGCTTTTACACTAAACCTCGCGCCAGTCTCCCTAAAACTCATAAGCCAATCCGAGCCAAGATCGAACCTGTGTTTTCCTGAACCTTCGCAACGCAGTGCTCTTCTCCTCGGTGAGGCAAGTTCAGGGTGCTGGTTACTGAACTGGGCTATGCGAATACTGTACTGTGTACCACATTCGCTGCACATCAGTGCTGGAGGTTGCGTTTCAAGGGCAGGCGATGATGCGATGCGAGCGCGCGTTACTACATGCATCAATGTTCACAAAGGTGAATGGCGGTTCAAAGCGGTTCAAATTTAGAACCGCTCTAAAGCGCACAGCATCCAAATAAACCGTGTTAACGAACCTCGCGTGCCACCCAACATACCAAACCAGATTAGCAGCAAGCCCTGCTGCTCGCTTGCGACTTCCGCTGCCTGCCTTCAAGCTGAGTTTTGCTAGCAGCATTTCTCCCGCAGTGACCTTTAGGGCATATAAATAGTTACTATCGCTTTGTACGCACATCAGCCCATCCGTAAGAAAGCTTGTCCAACCTCCGTAAACTCACTCTTCTTGCTCGCTCCTCCCTGTGCGCGCGCAAGTCTTCCGCTCTTCCGTTGTCGTCCATGCGTCCCGCCGTTGCCTAATCCAAACTCCTCTCCAACCGAAAGAGCCGCTCGCGACAAGCGGTCCCCGCTTCAACACTGCGAAAATTTCTCTGTCGAAATCACGAAGCCCAAAACACTTTGCCTGATTTCAATCCTGACTGTTACATCCAATCAATCTCCAAGTCATCGCTGGCTGTTCCGTGACTGCGTTCGTTCCTGCGAACCGCGTGTCCTCCTTCCATCGCTGGCGTGTTGAGAAGTTTCGGAAGTCGACCTCCATCGGCAATCCCAATGGCGTCCTCCTGCCTCCGTACGCTTGTCAACGGGACTCCCGTTGCGCCAACGCTCTCTCCTACATCTACAACGAATCTCTGCCATGCCGATTCGAAAACTGTGGTTCCTCGCGGTGTTCCCATCGCTGCCTCCGTTTCCCGTGGTATCCCCGTTATCTCCGTCTCCGTCTCCGTCTCCGTCGCCGTCTCCCATGGCACCCTTCGCGCTTCGCCGTGCGCAAGGGTTTCCGGGCCGCAATCCTTGACTTCTCCTCATGTCGCCCGCGCCGCCCTCTCCTCCTGTTGCTCCTCCCGCTCGTCCTCCTACCCCTCCCTCTCTTTCTCCGACTCCCCCCGCTCCACGCGCGCCGTCTATTGCGCCGTCCCTTGCGCCGTCTCTTGCGCCGCTGCCTGCGCTCATTCCCCCCGGCCCGCCTGCCCCCCGCTACCCCTCGCGGACGAGCGCAAGCCGCCGTTTGCGAACTCAGCGACGTCTCCGGCGTCAGCGGCATGCACTGTAGCCGCGCTGTTACGGCCGCGTTACCCGCTCACATCTCGGCCTCTTCCCGCCTCTTCCACCTCCCCGCTCCTCGATCTCTCCTCAAGCTTCATTTCCTCGTCAGGCGCGCTGCGTGCCGCTGGCGCGCTCCTAGCAGCTTCCCCCCGGCCGCTCGCCGCGCTTGCCGCCCGCGCGTCCGCATCTGACGCCGGCAGTTCCGGCGACGGAGAGAGCTACAGCGGGGGAAGAAACAGCGGAGGGGCGAGGAGTGGGGGAAGGGGTAGCGGGGGAAGCCTGGGGGGCGCACAGGGGGGCTGCGAGTGGGTGGGGGAGGAAGGGGAGAGCAACGGAGACAAGGCGGAGGAGAAGGTGGGGGAGGGGAAGGGGGCGGTGGGGAAGGCTGGGGAGGGGGAGGCGGAAGAGATTGACGAGGCGGAGCGGGAGCGGCAGGAGGAGCTGCTGCGCGCGCTGGGGCTGGACTCGAGCATCCCCGAGACGGCGAACGAGTTCCTAGATAAGGTGTCGAGCCGCGCGTACGACATGCGGCGGCGGCTGGAGAGCACCTTGGAGTCCACGTCGTACGACGGTGAGCTTCCGCCGCCACCGCCGCCTTTTGAGAATTCGCGAAGGTCATTCCGGTGAGCCGCCGCGCCGCTGCTGCAGCCTCGTATAGTCCGTCCGCCTTTTCATAAGCTTTCAAAAGCAGCCCTTCAGCAGCCATCCAACCCCATCCACCTATTGGAGTGCGCCTTCCATCTCGCACACCATTGAGACCACCTCCCCCCCGCGCCCCGCATACCCGTGATTCTCCCCTCTCCCCTCCGCCCTCCACCCTCCGTTCTCTCCCCCGCCGCTTCCCCCTGCGCGCAGTGGTGGACTCGAACCCGTGGCGCGACCCGTCGAAGGCGCTGTTCGTGCTGGCGCAGGGGGACGCGCAGCTCTACACCATGCGCACGCGCACTCCGCGCAGGTGGGTGTGGGGGGGGGGATGGGAGAGAGTGGAAAGTGCTGTGGGAAAAGGGAGCGTAGTGGGAGCGATTGGGAGGTAACCTTGGAAAAGGAGGTAATGAGTTGGATGACTTGGGTGAACCACTCACAGGCTGGTTAGGCTGGTTAAGCTGGTTCTGCTGGTTCTGCTGGTTCTGCTGGTACTGTGGTGACAAGGCTTTTATTGCAATGGGGAAGGGGGATTTAAAGGGGCTGTACCTTTTTTTTGCTGCAGTTGTTTTTTTGTTATTTCTCAATGAACACCTACCGTTACGAACACCTCTCTCCCCCTTGTGGATTTGAAAACCTTGCTCCTCGCAGACAAACCACAGAGTTGCCCCTTATCCCTCCCCTGCATCCTTCCCTCATTTCGGCAACTTCCTGTTAGCTCCCAGGTGCTGTTTATGAGGCGCCTTGATTCTAGCTCCCCGTCCCAATCTGCCTTGCTTCTCTCTCTGTCCGTGCATGTCTGTTTTCCGTTTCTACTTTCTCCGACTTCCCATCTCACAGTGAGGTGGAGAGCGAGTTGGATAAGCTGTTCGGTGAGAGGAGAGGCAGGAAGGGAGGCATCTCAACTGGTCCTAGTGGGAAGAGCAGCAGCAGCGCTGGCAGCAGTGGCGGTGGTGGTGGCAGCAGCGGCACCCGCACTGCTTCGCCCACGCGTTCTCGCTTCTCGATGAAAGTGGAGGACGTGAGGGAGGGTGTCCTGGTACGGATCAGCCCCTCCGCTCCTCCTCCCGTTTGATTTCTAGCCAAATTTTGAGTTTGACTTCAAAAGTTCCCCTTCTTGAGTTACCTTATGAGATCCTCACCTCACCTTCCCTCACCACCCATGCCACCACACCATCCATGCCACCATCCCATGTCTGGTGGCAGGTGTTTGAGGATGAGCAGCAGGCAGCGCAGTACTGCAGCCTCTTGGAAGGGCAGGGCCACAACTGCCTTGGAGTGGCGCAGTTTAAAGCCAAGGATGTGAGTTGCTCTGCCTGGCGAGTGTCGAGTCATGATGTGTTGTGCTTGTATTGTGACCGTCGTCAAGGATGCGAGTTCTGTCATACAGGGCACGCAAGTTGGGCTGTACTGAGGATGAAGAAACACGTGCTACGTTGAATGGTAGTCACCCTTTTATTCGTGTGACTAATCCATTGCCCTGCATATGCTAAACCTGGCTAGTAATAGAGTGTGCTCATACGTCCTCTGTGAAGCCCCCTCATACCCTCTTCTTTCCACCCTATCTTTGCCCAGCTGTTCAAGGTTTGTCAGTCATCCAAGGCCCTTGCTGTTCTGTTCCGTAGCGGTGTGGTTCCCCCCCAGCCCGACCGCCTGCAGCAGCACCTGGGAGCCAAAAAGAGGTCCTTGGAGGATGACGTGTGATGGAGTAAGGGGGTGATGGGAGGGAGGGTATTGCAAGGCGGACAGGAAGGGAGCGGGCGTGGGTGAATGTTTTGTGTTGATGTGTGGGTGGATGGCTCCGTTCCGGTCCAAAGCTGGGGTCGCAATTGCAAGCAGCTTCTGAGTATCACTGGGTGGGTAAGAATGCATTGGCGGCTGTATATATGTTGGTTTGGTGTGACGTGTCGAAGGGATGCTCGAGTAGTCCAAATTGCCAATGGTTATGCCAAAAGATGTTTCAATGCGACCTATGTCGTGTCAACTGTCATGTCAATTGTCCGGTTGTTGGAGTGGGCTGCGTAGGAATGCATGAGCAATCAGTGATAGAATGGTAATATTAATTATATGTAAGCCTTTCCCTTTGAGTATGTACATATTAGTTCAATTGCTTCCTTGGGCGACTAGATGTGTAAAACCCTGTTGTATACGCTGCATCCAGTTCAACTGCATAATATCTGGCCCCAGCAGGCTGGCCACTTCGTGGGGCCGAGCTGGAGTGGGCCACGATTGACGGGACCACTCGCATCGCCACGATTCACCTCTAGCCATTGACCATGCCAGTCATCGTCAGCAAGGTGCATAAGCAGACGTGGTGCCAAACACGTCATAAGCTCATCATCCCAAGCTGGACGGCATCGAAGGATCACGCACGGGTGACACAATAAACATCCTACCCAGCTGGACTTGGCCCATCTCGCCTCAAATCCAGCATCCGAGTCGCGAATGGGAAAATGAACGAACACTTTCGCGTCGCCATCACACTCACTGCAGAACGAATCTTTGGAATCTCCGGGCTTGCCGCGCTGATTGTGCGGAAATTAGGGGCCTGGGCAAATTCGGGTTCCCGTTGGCGGGCGCTCCCCCGCAGGCGGATTGGTTTCCCACCACCCACAGCCACAATGACCAGCTGTGGCGGGGGGTGGCCAGCACCCAGTTCGGCGACCAGGCGCAGCCCCACTAGACAACTAGGCCCATGAGGAGTAACTTTTCCGCAAGGGCCGTTCCGCCAATTATCCTTCCTGCCCTCGGAGACCCCCATGACCCCCCCTCCAGCCGTCATTCTCAAGGAGTCGAGTCGAGTCGAGTCGGTGAGCAGCAGCAAGCTGAGGTGATCAGAAAATCATATAACTAGCGGCTGCTCACACACCTCGATTCATCCGACAGCAAACGCTTCTCCTCCTGTCCCGTTGCCGCTACTTCGCCTGCGTAATTCCGTCAACTCCTCGCCATCCGTATTGCAAGCTCCGACCTCCATTCCACATCGCCAATCCTCTTCCACTGTCCACTGCCACCATCTCAACAATACACGGCTTCGGGGCTGACGCTGCTGCTTTCGACTTCAGTCAAAGTCTTCGCTTCCTAACAGAGCGACGCGTTACCGTTGGATCCAAGTCACGATGGCTACCACTTCATCGTCACCGTTGCTGGCGACAGCCGCTAAGAAGGCCGCGGATCTTTGCCCTCGGATGCTGGAGAAGCTCGTCAGAAGGTATGTTGAGCGAATTCGTAATGATGTTCGGAAATGCTGACTGGACGAATGCTAGCTCTTTGGCACTCATCGCTATTCTCGACTTATGATCCCTCGCTTTCGTTGCTCTACTTTCGAGCGATTTAACCCGTCTCGCTGGCCGCTAACATAGTTCTCACTCCTGATTCCCGTTTATCCAATGTACGTGTGTCAAGCAGGTATCGCTCCACCCCCGTCGCTCTCGAGAGGGCTTTCCACACGGAAGTAATGTCCTCGACAAAATCCACCTCGACAACGCCGACCATCACTTCCGAAATGCGCCACCCATTCGCTGGCGTGACTCTCTGGAAACCCGACCCCGTGTCGGGCAACTGGGTGCCCGAAGCGGCTATTCTCGCTTCTTCCTCATCCCTGCGCTCCACTGTCGCCGGCCACAGCGATAGCGCCTCGGAGACGCGGTTCCGATCCATTCCGCGCGCCTCGATGGACGAGCGTGCGTGGTGGTCGTCTGAGGAGTTCTCTATGGAGCGCAAGTACCGGTCGTCTTGATATTTTACTCTTTATTTCGTTAGAGGGTGTACAGAAAGTAGATGATCCTGGCAATCCATGTATAGATCACAGTTGCGTGGTAAAGGTGGCCATCCATGTTTCTATCGCAACCTATAACTTGTACCCGCCGTACTTATGACGTATCTTGCGTGCTATACTTGGCACCAGCTACACTTGGCAGCTAAAAACCAGCTATCCCTGGCACCATAGTGGTGTGGACACACTCACGCACGCATACACCCACACACACACACCCACACACAGCCACACACACACACACACACACACACACACAGCCACCCACCCACACACACACACACACACACACACACACACACACACGAATTGTACATTTATTTGTGTGCACATTTGGCAAAGCAAAGCTTAAAGCCGGCAGCCCAAATTGCACAAGTTTTAAAAGGTTGACGCGAGGGGGTTTTTGTGGTGAGGGTTTTGGCGAAAGATTCCGATTTCGCTTTTTTCGTTTTTTTCGCCAAACCCAGCCCGCCCTCGTATTTCGCCCTGGGGGTTGGTTCAGTTCCCAAAAGTCCCAAATTGCAGGCACGCTTTTCTTCAAACCTTGAAAACACTAGTTCGTCAAGTTTTAAAAGCTTGACCCGCGCGGCCCGCAATTTGGGACTCGGGCTTTAACACCGACAATGAGGACCCTGGATGTGTGGCATGGACAGTGAAGTATTGGTAAAGGGCGTACGGTAGTCTTAGGGTACATTCCGCTGTGGACATGCGTCCCAATCGATGTGTCCCAATCGATTCTACCGCACTGCATCTTATTACACCGAATTACACCCTAGTTTCAAAATTTTCGCTTCTCTGGTTTAGTGCGGTTCGGAGCGGTACACCCGATTGGGACACATCGATTGAGACGCATGTCCACTGCTGATATAACCAAAGGATCAGTGGATAGGATAGGATGTGTTAAGCCTAAGAGGAGACAGTGAAGTCTCTGAGATGACCTTGTTGAATAATAATTGAAAGGGAACAAGATGATTGAGAGATAGAAGTACAAGGAATTAAATAGCGACTGACTAGCCATGTACTCTGAGGGGTACATTCCCTTATTAACTGTATTACATAGCTACAGCAACCGCGACTATTACTATCATTGACAGTTACCATGTTGCAGTCAGTTAACTGTCGCGCGGTTACCGGATCGTCAAGGGTCACGACCGTTGACTTCCTCAAACGGTTGACCTTCGGGTGACCCTCGACATTCCGCGTGCTCTATATGAGCTCATGCGGTACTGGTACAGTGGTACAGCTTCGGGAATGCCTTTATAACCTTTCGGTTATTCCAACACTCCCCTTCATTCCTGAAGGTGGGCCACGTGGGATTTCTTGGTGATCCCGCAGAGGTCGGCGCAGTGCTGGTACTGCTGACGTGGCAGTTTCTTCGTCAGGAAATCGGCTGCCATGTCACCGGTCGGGCAGTACGTCAGCTTGACTCTCCCCTTGTCGATTTCGTCCTTCACGAAGAAGTAGCGAAGGCCGATGTGCTTGGTGCGGTTGACGAAGACGGGCTTGTTTGCGATCTTTATCGCGCTCTGATTGTCGCAGAGTAACGTGAAGTGCCCGTTCATCGTCACCTTCGCTTCTTGCAGGAGCTCCATCAGGTACAACCCTTCGCGAACAGCTGCGCTGGCTGCGATGAATTCTGCTTCGGCTGACGAAAGAGCGATGAGTTCCTGCTTCTGGGAGTTCCAGGAGATGAGTCCCGCAGGTTGAAGTTGAAAAATGAATCCTGTGCGGGAGCGTCTGTTGTCAACATCTCCTGCGTGATCAGCATCCACGTAGCCATGGAGTTGCAGAGTAGCGGTGAGGTTAGCTTCGTAGGTGAGGCCGACGTCGGGAGTGGAGATGAAGTACTGCAGTGCTCGGCGTAGATCGAGCAGATTCTCCCCTTCAGGTCGCTTCAGGTACTGTGCGAGCTGGCTAGCGACGTAGGAGAGATCGGGCCGGCACGTGACGGCGGCGAACAGGAGGCAGCCCAGCTGCTGCTGATAGAGACGATGGTCGTCGGGAGAGAGCGGCGTGGTGTCGGGCTCGTGGTTAGGAGGAGGAGTGCGGTAGGGGGTAGTGAGGTTGATAGGGGCGACGGCGAACCGCTTTGCGAGTGTTTCGGCGTACTTGGCGGCGGAGAGGTGAATGGAGGAGGCGGACTGAGTGACGTTGAGGCCGAGGAACTGAGTGACGTTGTGGTTGACAGTCACTTCCAGCTTTTCTTTGATGTCGGCTTCAAATTGGTCCAGCAGCTCCGTGTCGTCGCCGGTGTAGAGGAGGTCGTCGACGTAGGCGACGAGGAGGATGAATTTTCCCCGCGGCTCCCTTCTGTACATTCCGAGGTCGTGCGGCAGCTGAGTGAAGCCGAGCTCCAGGAGAACGGAGTGCAGGTACTGCTGCCACAGACGAGGGGCTTGCTTGATTCCGTAGAGGGATTTTTGGAGGAGGCACACGGCACCGTCGCTTTCTTCGAATGCGTGCGGCTGCTCGACGAAGATGATGGCATCGACGGGGGCGTACAGGAAGGCGCTTCCAACGTCGATTTGCCGGAGTGGTCGCTGTTTGACGGCGGCGATGCAGATGAGGATGCGCACCGAGGTGTGGCGGCCGACTGGAGCGTAGGTGAGCGTGAAGTCCACCAGGTGAGTTTGCTCGAATCCCCGCACCACCCAGCGCGCCTTGTACTTGTCAATCGAGCCATTGGCGAGAGTCTTAATGCGGAAAACCCATTTGCCGCTGAGAATTTTTCTCCCCTTTGCCGATGACCGTGGGACCAGCTTCCAGGTGCCGCGCTTCTTCAGCGACGCGATTTCGGCGGCCATGGCTGCTCTCCATTTGTCGCTGTCGGGGCCAGACAGGGCTTGGCGGACGGTGGTGGGTTCCTTGGGCGAGGTGTGGCGAACTGCAACGGCGAGGCCGAGAACCCGAAGACCGGTTTCGTTGGTCT